GTCATAGGCCCTCCCTGTCTTCATTTGACTGCATGTTTCCTGCTAAAAGACCTAATGACATTTTCAGTTTCCTTTCATTTTAAATGTCCTGGCTTTTCAAAAAGGTCATAAGGTTAATCTTTACAACAATCCACACCTACATGCCTCCCCTACCGTACTTAGAGCTTGAAATAATGAGACAAATAATGTTTGTCTTATTGGACCTGCAGCTCCACTCAGAGTCCTAGGATAGGTCAGCTGAAACGTCTCACTAGAATAAAGTTTTAGGTCATAATGAGGGAAAGAATTAGTCAATAGACCAGGGGTCACCAACTTTTTTAAGGCTGAAGGCTACTTTATGGGTACTGAGTCATAGGACGGGCTACCAATACTGACCTATGAACTAGAGGAGTCGGCGTTCACCTGAACTTCATAGATGATAAACATATTTCTATTGTTTCTTTTCATTTTTAATTTGCTTTTAGATGTTCTCATTATGAAATCCATATAAATCCTCAAATGTTCTAATTTATGGATATGATAAAATGCTTCATAAATGCTTCAAAATAAGAGCTTCAGTAAAAAATACAATTTCAGATTTAGTCCACTGGTGAATTGTTCTGTTTTCAAAAGATGCTGAGGGCACCCCATGTTGTCCTTGAGGGCCCCTTGGTGCCCACGGGCACCACGTTGGTGACCCCTGCATTAGACTAACCAAATAAACCAAATTTGACAAATTAATATATTATATTATTAAATATATATTAATAAGGTTAATTTTGGTAAATCAATCACTAAATAAAAAACAAAAAAACATAAATCGAAGACACAATTATGCTTTCAAGCCTTCATTTCTATTTACTTTGAGGATTTCCTGTTTTTAGCAATGGATATATGACATTTAATGTTAAAAATATATATCAGACCAATAAAATAAAACATTTTAATAGAACAGAAAATGGGTTTAAAGAAAGGCATGTGGAAGACCTGCTTAAAAGGCTCTTAATTATGAAAGGACAGTATAGACATGTATATTTACTCATGTATGTGTTCAGTCTGCTCAAAGTAAAGCTGAATGTCATCTGCATAAGATGCTCATTTCTTCTGTGCTGTCCAATAATGTTTCCCGATGTTTTGTTGCAGCTGGGTGGTGTATCAGGAGCCCAACTACAGGGGACCCCATTACGTCCTGGAGAAACGTGACTATAACAACTTCTCCGACTGGGGCAGCCAGAACAGCACCGTGGGCTCCATGCGACGAGTCCGATTCAACTGAACAAGAACCTCGACGATGAGCACCCATGGAGCCTGTCAGCTTTACACCGAAAATAAAAACTATTTTAGTAATAAACTGATTTGATCTCATTGTTGTTCAGAGTTGAGGCCCGTTTAAATTCTCAGTTATTCCAGAAACAACAGAGGCTGAAATCATAGGCAGATGGTCTCTGTTCTGCTCTGCTGGTCCAGCTGACAGAACATGCGTCACATCATCTGAAAAACTCAGCAAAGGCCATCTGACTCCGATTTCAGACTGTTTTGTGGTCAGAGCTAATATTCTAGAGATTGATTGATTTCACAGTGGAGAAATGTACATGTTACATCAGCTCAAATAGTCAAAAAAAGAAGAATGTGATCATTATACTGGGTCATCATTGCACATGGTGTTTAAATTGGTATTTACTGTATATAGATGGATATTTATATTTAAATATACAGTTATTGTACTGGGTGTCAAATATGTTTGTGCGACACGGATGGACATGAGGGTGAAAAGGGGGGGATCCAGGTGGAAAAAGGGTCGCAGCGTTCTTGCGATTTTCCACAATGGCGGTCATACGAACAAAACAAGCTGGGAAGGTACCAAACAAGAAATACTGTAGAGGAGATAACACAATGTCTGACGGACTATCTGAACTTCTGCACTGACGTGGTCTCACCCGTCAAGACAGTCTTCTACTCCCCGAATAACAAGCATTGGGTAAAGAGGGAAGTCAAAGCTGTCCTAAACAGCAACCAGGCTGCCTTCAGGAGCAGAGACAAGGAGGCCATGAGGGCAGCACAGCAGAAGGTAAAACACTGTGTGAGGGAAGCCAAAGACATCTACAGGAGAAAGGTGGAGCAGAAACTGAGGGAGAATAACATGAGAGCCATGCTAGGAAGGTGTGAGAACCATCACAAGACATAACACAAAGACCAGGACCGATGAAGAAAAGATGGAGAGGGCAAATGAACTGAACAAGTTCTTCATCAGGTTTGACAAGCCTGTGACCCCTCCACCGCTGCTGCAGCCATCTCCCATAAACACACACACACACACACCCCGCCTTAGCTATCACAGCACTGCCATCCTACTCTGTCCCAGACCTCAATACCTTCCCTGCCTCACATCACCACAGACCAGGTCAGAGAACAGCTGAGGAGACTTCGACCCAGACAAGCTGTGTCCACGGGTACTAAAAAAATCTGTGCTACTGAACTGGGGGAACCACTACAACGGGTCTTTGACCTTAGCCTACAACTAGAAAGAGTGCCTACCCTATGGAAGACATCCTGCATCACACCTGTTCCTAAAAAGACTCGGCCCAGTGAACTGAATGATTTTCAGCCTGTTGCACGTACCTCGCATCTGATGAAGACAATGGAGCGGATCACCTGCAGTTTGCATATCGACCAGGTGTAGGAGTGGAGGACGCCATCCTCTACCTACTACACCGAGTCCACTCCAAGCCGGATAAGGGAAATGCCACAGCATGATTCTCTTCCTGGACTTCTCAAGTGCATTCAACACCATCCATCCCTCCCTGCTCAAAGACAAACTGAATAGCATTGGAGTCTTCCCCTGCCTGGTGACATGGATCTCCAGCTACCTGACAGACAGGCCACGGTATGTCAAGCTGAAAGACACCATGTTTGAACTGTGGTCAGCGGTACTGGAGCCCCTCAGGGCACAGTGCTGGCCCCTGTCCTCTTCATCTTATACACCACGGGCTTCTGTTACAACTCTGAGCTGTGTGACACGCAGACGTGCGCAGATGACACAGCCATTGTGGGGTGTATCACAGGCAACATAGAGGAGGTGTACAGGAATCTTGTGTGGCACCAACCACCTGGAGCTCAACATCTCCAAGACAAAGGTGCTGGTCATAGACTTTGGGAGGAATGGACCAAAGACTAAGCCGGTACTACTGGAGGGGGCTGAGATGGAGGCTGTGGATTCATACAAATACCTTGGGGTCTGGTTGGACAATAAAATGGAGTGGTCAACAAACACCATCACCCTGCACAGGAAGACACAGAGCAGGATGTACTCTCTGAGGCGAATGAGGTTGTTTAACATCTGTAATAAGCTGCTGGAGATGTTCTAACAGTCTGTGGTTGCCAGTGATGTGCTGGGGGAGCAGCACATCCATGAAGGACACCTCCAGACTGGACAAACTGGTCAGGCGAGCCACCTCTGTGACTGGCAAGAAGCTGGACTCTCTGGGGATGGTAGTAGAGACAAGGACACTGCTGGACATTATGAACAATGCCGGCCGCCGTCTACAGTGTCTTCACCACTCAGAGGAGCCTAATCAGTGGCATACTTTACCTCCCCAAATGCAGGACCAGGACTGCTGAACTCCTTTGTTCCCCAAGCCATCAAGCCTCACTTGGAGGAAGGAGGAGGTGATAGGAATAGGGACAAGGGTCAGCACCCCCTTCCTTGGACATCTTATGCAAAACATTGCCTATTGTCACTAATGAGCAAAATTCTTGTCCCTCACTGTGCAATAACACATGCCAACTACTGTGTAGCCTGTGTAATTTTTTTAAAACTTATTTATAAAGTCAGTACATCTCTGCAGTACAAGTGCAATAATCCAAGTCAACTACGACTATATAGTCCTCTCTTAGCTCTCTACTGTGCAGCTATTTTTATGTCTAAAGGAAACATATTCCGGGACATTAAAACTTTTCTTTCCCCTTTATGCTTTTTGGTACAATAAACACAACTCTTTAATGGCATTTTGCTTTAACTCACTGTACCCTATATAAGCTACTGGAATCAGAATTTCCCTGAAGGAATAATCCCAAGGGATAAATAAAGTTGAGTCTTAGTGTGTTCTCTACATCCAGTCTGTTCCTCAGCTGGGTTTGGATGTGTATCAAACTCAAACATAGAAGAAGAACTGATTTTTTGGTTGAAAAAAACTTGTTTGATTCTTAGTTTTGTCCTCACAAAGCAGGAAGGACCCCAGCCCTATTTTATTTTATTACCTGTGAAATAAAACGTTTTCATGTACCCGTTGCAATGCACTCACAGACCACTAGGTTGGGAATCACTAATCTTGACGATTATTTTTGCTCATTAATTGGAATTTTGCTCTTCATTGGGATCCAGATGGTCCCGTCTTCATAGTAAAATTAAATATCGGATTATTCCCACAGAGATACAGGGAGGAGGACGATGGATCTCTTCGGTTCCGTTTCTTGACGTGGAACAAAATGGATAAGATTTAACCAAAGAAGTAATTGGAAATAAAGACACTTTCTGTGACTCTTTATTCGAGCATCCTGCAGCCTCAGCATCACAGAACCACAGCTTTCTGACTGATGGTAGAAAAATACAAACTGTAATGGATGGATGGATTAAAATACTCCCAGATTATTTTTTTTACAACCTTTTGGATTGTACATTACTCCCTTAAAACATCCTATTCCTTCATAAAGCAGCTCCTCAGAGTTCAGGCCGCTTGTGTTCAGTCATGTCCTGGAATTTATTGGCGGAATTGGACCCACATCACAACAAATACGAACTAAGTTAGTTTGACAAAGACGTTGCTGGGATTAGGAATGGGTGAAGATTGATGAGGAACATGAGGAGGAAGTTCAGCATCCAGCTGCATGTGACTCTGTTTGATCCTGGGAGAAGCTCATCCAGTCACTCCCTGATTCCAGCGTTTCTCCCCATTTACAGAGAAAATCTAACTTGATCAAAGGTTTCCCAGTTAATCCAAAATTAGAAAAACTAGAAGGAACATCACCCAGTTCCTTTCTGCTCATGGGGAAACTTAGAAAATGTTTCTCTTTCAATGCAAAAAATAAAGTAGAGATTTGGGAGCTGATTTAAACGTGTTTATGAACATAAAAGCAGAGGGTGACGTCGCATGGATGGTCTGCAGGGCTCAGTTTCCGTTCTGGTTCATTTGAAGATATTCGTTGTGAAGCTTCTCCTGAGCCTCGTAGAGCTTCCTCAGCTTCTTCGCCTGGCCTTTGCTGAGCTCCTTTCCCTCCGCGTCGTGAGTGGGAAAACCCTGAGGACAGGAAAGCAGGAGTCACACCAGGAAGTGATCCAGGATCTGATTGGTTTATTACAGCATCATAAAGGGAAACTCTAACTGGTTAAGCACCCGCCTGATTGGACGGATGAAGGGAAAACAGATGACAGCAGGACTTAGTTTAATAAGCTGCATCTGGATGAAGGAATTCTGGGACAATTTGGAAAGATAAGAGGAGAGTAGTGATGTTCTCGCACAATGGGGGAGGGAGGATGATATGGGCCTCTTGCAGTCGCTCAGTGAGTGGAACCCCAGGGTGAGAGAACCTGTCCCACAGCTTGAACCAAAGCGGCTCAGTGATGCCAATCCTCCACTTACCGTGTCGTCAAATGAGGAATATTTGTCTGTTTCGGAGCGAAACATCTCGCATGGAGGGACCTTCATCTTGGCCAGTTTCGCCATCTGAGGCATTGAAAGAAAAGCAGCAATTGTTAGATCAGGGTTC